TCTGAGCTTGGGCTTTTACACAATGTTACTGGGTAAAAGCCTAAACATAAGATTTTATACTATGACCAAATGGTGACAAACAGGTCACCATATTCTTGTTGTGGCTTTTATCTGACACATGATTTGAATTATGACCTAGATACTGAATTTATGATTCATTACCTTAGTTATGATTTTTAACAGGTCACCATGTCTGAGCTTCCTTCTTTCATAGAATTTAAGTAAAGGAGTTTTCATTTCATTCAAGTATTATGACTTTTCCCCATTCAGGATCACACATAATCCTAGCTCCTTCGTTCTATGGATTGTTATATTCCAAGTTCTCTCATTCTTTAATGCAGAAATTTTTAAATCTTATGTTATCATGACTGTGGTCACACGATACTTGGATTGCTTCTTTCTGGCTGATTGTAATATTTCTTCTGGACCTAGAATTTGGTTGTAATATTCCTGGGAGTTTTTGTTTTGGACTCTCTTTCAGGAGGTGATCGGTGTATTCTTTCCACTTCTATTTTGCTCTATGGTTCTAGAATACAAGGACAGTTTTCCTTGATGATTTTTTGAAAAATGATATCTAGGCCTTTTTTTTTTCATTATGGCTTTCAGCTAGCCCAATGATTTTCATATCATTTCTCCTGGGACTATTTTCCAGATCAGTTGTTTTTCCAATGAGATATGGCACATTGTCTTCTATATTTCCATTCTTTTGGTTTTGTTTTATTGTTTCTTGATTTCTCATGAAGTCATTGGCTTCCATTTGTTCACTTCTGATTTTTATGGAATTATTTTCTTCAGTGAGCGTTTGTACTTCCTTTTCTATTTGACCAATTCTACTTTTTAAGGAGCTTTTTCTTCAGTGGATTTTTTGCCTTTTTTCCATTTGGCTTATTCTGCTTTTTAGGGCATTTTTTTCCTCATTGGCTTTTTTTTTTTATCTCTTATCATTTGACCTAGTCTGTTTTCTAAGGTGTTATTTTCTTCCGTATTTTCTTGTGTCTCCTTTACCAAACTGTTGACTCTTTTTTCATGATTTTCTTGCATCACTCTCATTTCTCTTCCCAACTTTTCTTCTGCCTCTTTTACCTGATTTTTGAAAACCTTTTTGAGTCCTTTCATGGCCTGAGACCATTCATATTTTTCTTAGAGGCTTTGACTTAGTTATCTTCTTCTGAGTGTATGTTTTGATCTTCCTTATAACCATAGTAACTTTCTAGGTCAAAATTTTTTTCTGTTGTTTGCTCATATCCTCAGGCAATTACTTGATTTTTAACTCTTTGTTAAAATATGGCTCTGCCTCCAGGGTGGAGGGTGCTTCAGTTTTTGGTTGTTATTGTTTTATTTTGTTTGTTTGTTTTTGTTTTTGACAGCTGTTTCCAAAGATATTTCTAGGCACCTGTACATTTTTGGTTCTTCCAAGGTGGTATGCTCTAAGGAGAGATGTTTGCTACTCTCCTGGCCTATGCTCTGGTCTGTGAGTGACCACAAGCACTTTTTATTTCCCTGGAACCCCCCTGTGACTGTAAGCTCTGGTGTGCTAGTGCCCCTCCTTGCCCCAGAACTGCCACCCATGACTGTGACCCTGATCTGAGTATCATAAAGCAACAGAGTCCTTCCTCAGGGCTTGCAAAGAGACCCTGTAATCTCCTTTTGGCCAGTTGTTTGACCCCTTTACTGTCTTTGAGTTGAGACCCCTGGGAGCAGCTGCTGCCATTGCTGATTCAGTGGCTCACAAGGTATGCTCCTGGTTTTCTGTGGCCTGGGCTATGCTGGCATGGCCTGCATTAGAGTATGCTCCCCTTCACTTGGGTGCTACAGACTTTCCTACTGACCTTCTCAATTGTCCAGCATTGGACAGTGGAATTGTCTAAATACCAGCATTGGTATCTCTGGGCTGAGAGGCCTGGAAACCAACACTGCTGCCATTGATTCAGTTGCCGTGAGGCCTGCTTATGAGGTTGCTGAGGCCCCATCTGCACTTGGTCGAGTTGTATACATTCTGGCTCCCTACTCCAGTTCCCTCTGTTCCTTAGTTTTTCTAGCTAAGACCTGCTATAGCACAGCATGCTGCCATATTGCCACTCTAAAGAGAACAAAAATCTAATTTTCTATACCTCCACCTCTGCTGCACAGTATGGATCGGGAAGAATTTATTTCACTTGTAAGCCATGGGTCAGTTTGTGCCACCTCTCTAAGAGTTTAGGAGCTGGTAGGAGAGGGAATTCTGAGTGAACATGTTAGAGATTAAGGATAAGCTTTCTCCACTGTTAATTCATCAGTGTGCTGCCTTGTTAGAATTCTTAGTGCTTAGATGGTGTTGATAGATGAAATTGTTTTGTCTTCTCATGCAATATTGTTATTTTGGAAACATTTGAAAGGTTGTGAGGATTGGAGAGGAAAGAGATTTCTCCTTGTTGGTCACATGACTAAGAATATCTGATCAGATTTTAATACAAATTTCTTTATATTCCTGTTGAAGGAAATCTAAAAAACTTCTTCCCTTGGGGGTGTGATTTCCAATGTAGCATTCTCCTCTTGGCCTACTCCTCCAGATCATGTTTACAGGTTGGATGATCATAAGGTCAACAACCCCAGGTATTTGTGAGTCCACACTCAAGGACTCAAACCACTTGACACAACTAGTTCAAAGCAAAGACAGCAATTAGAACATGAACATGAACCTTTCAACTATAAATATGAGGCACACTTTCCCACAAATATACTCAGAGTCAATGGGAAGAGTGGGCCCATGCATAGTATGCTGGTTGAAAGATACATAGAAGGAACACACATCGCCAAGCCAACTCAAGTCTCTGCCACTTCAAGTCCTTGACTTCCTTTCTCTTATTGTATAATTTCCACATTGCTCTTTAAAATGTTTTAAAATTCATTTAATTTTTAATTTATGGAATAAAACAACCATTTCCATAATGTAGTTTAATAAAAAATGATTGCTCATGAAACTGAAAATCTGTTATGCACAGTTTGCTATTCCTTTTAGATAAGTTTAAACAAACTTTTAAAAAGTTATCAGGTAAATATCTTCTTTTATCCCCTCTACCCTTGAGATGGCTATTAAACACAAATATGTATATTTGTAAAATCATTCTATATATCTACTTATCAGTTTTTTCTCTTTATGCAAACAGTGTCTTCCTTTATATGCCTTTTATACTGCACCTGGGTCTTTATAATAGTCAAAATGTTACTTTTTATGGGAACAGTGTCTTTGGTGGGCAGTTCTTACAACTGTATTCCTTGGGGCTGCTTTTCTCCTTAGCTCAACTTCTGACAACAGAGCTGACTCTCCCTCTATTTAAAATAGAACTGGCTAGATTGCTTTTTTTATACCAACCCAAGGGACATGGCTAATCTAGACCTTGCCCACATGGCATCAGTTGCCTTCATCATATGAACAAGGACCCCAAATATTCTCAGGGTGATTAAAATTGTTCATGTTAACTAAGGGAGTTAAAAATATAGAGATTTATTTAAATTTGCTTTACCGAAAATGAATGAGACACTCCCAAGTTATGCAACCTTTACCAACTGTGAATAGAACACATAGGATGATCATTTTATGTCTGAAATTGGAAAAATTCCAAGTCTAAGACTCTTCCACTAATATATCTGAAACAATAATTTATGGACTCAGCACTTGACGTGTGCCAATCTAAGCTTTTCTCTTCTACAGTTCTTGAACACTGTTCACTACTCTGTTGTATTATAAAATATCTTTAATTTGGTAAATAAAAGAGTAAAAAGGAGTGACCCAAGATGTAATAACAATAAGAGGGGAAAGAAAAGAAATAGACATGGTTCCCGGCTTTATGATGAAAACTCCATAGCTATAATGAGGGTTAAGAGAGGGATGGTGGGGGCAACCAGGTGGTGCAGTCGATAGAGCATTGGCCCTGGATTCAGGAGGAGCTGAGTTCAAATCTGGCCTCAGACACATAACACTTACTAGCTATGTGACCCTGGGCAAGTTACTTAACCCCATTGCCTAGCCAAAAAAAAAAAAAAGAGAAGGATTGATGGCTTTTTCTTTTTTCTTTTTTCCCCCACTAAGTTGGGTCTTTGAAAAAAGAAAAGATGGTCTTGGGAAAAATTCTAGGTGTAGATCTCTAAAAGGATAAGGGCCCTGAAATTACAAATCTCCCTTCTTAGAAAAATGTGGAAGTGAGAATGGAAACATGTTTCTGAGTATACAATTAAATATTCAGCAGGTGGCAGCAGAGCTAGATATTCTGGGTGATAAGAATGGTACTTGAACTCTGAGGATCATCTCATAGAAATCTGAGCCATACCTGCTCCATAAATCAGATTATTAGGTCAGTGTCACACAGGATAACAATTTCTTCTGTCACGTCAAATAGAAGAAACAAGGTATTTGTTGGAAGAGACTTGCAATTTTCTTATTGGGCACTGGGACTTTCATAACTCAATTTCTCCACCTAGAAAAGTGAAACAAGGAATACTAGCTATTCCTAGCAAGGCAATGGGTGAGTATAACAGGGACTATGGGTAAATAATTTAGGTGAAATGTAATCCTAGGTAAAAGGAGACAAAAAGTTAACTCAGGAAGCAATAGAGTGCCAAGGATCAGGAAAAGGAACCCTGAGAAGAAAGTGATTCATAAAAGAGATTCAATCTGGTCATTGGAAATGGAAGATGTTTGAGCAGTTTTGACAATCAGAAATGGGACTAAGATTAATTAGAAGCTTATTAGGAGCACAGAAAGGCCTACTTCATGTGATCCAACTGTTTAGAGTTATTGAAGTGATGTGGGGTGGTTGACACTGAGTTGAAACCATCTGGGAGCTCTGGGAGTCTCAGTGTCACCAACATTCCCCAGTGCTTTGGAACCAGCTCTAGGAGAACTTTCTCTGAAGTTCAGGAAAGAAACTTCTGACTGGGAGGAAGAAGGTGTTCTTCCTCTTTTTGAATAGAGGAAGACATGCAAATTGGGTCCCTCCCTACTGGAATGAAAAGCAGCCCCAAACCTGTACCTGCACCTCCTCTGGGAGACAAGCCCAAGCTCTTTGTGTCCTTTCACGCAGAGGACTAACCTGGAAACTCACCATGAAGTTTAGACTGAACTGGATTTTCCTTTTGACTATTTTCCAAGGTAGTTTTATGGAGAAGGAGGGACAATATGAAATGGTGACTTAATGTGACTATTGATTTTAATCAATGTCTCTGTGTTGCAGGTGTCCAGTGTGATGTGCAGCTGGTGGAGTCTGGGGGAGATGTGAGACAGCCTGGGGGCTCTCTGAGTCTCTCCTGCAAAGTTTCTGGAGTTACTATCAGCGGTTACTACTTCGGTTGGGTCCGCCAGGCTCCAGGGAAGGGACTGGAATGGGTTGCAAGCATTTATAGTACTAGTAGTATATACTATGCAGACTCTGTGAAAGGTCGATTCACCATCTCCAGAGATGATGGCAACAACATGATATCTCTACAGATGACTTCCCTTAAGACTGAGGATACAGCTGTGTATTACTGTGCAAGAGACACAGTGAGGAAAAGGAATGTGAGACCAGACAAAAACTTCCCCTACCAGGAAGTGAGACATCAGTCAGGCAAGAGGGGGATTGAGCTCATGATGCACAGAGTACAAGATGCCTAGATGCACTAACAGGTGTAGAGTGAATCTGAACCGTTTCTATTTATGGCTTTTGTTGTTTTTTTTTCTTTTCTATCTCAGGAGAAAGCAACTTTTCCAGTAGCTAACTATCATTCTTAATGCTTCACTCTCACTTCCTCCATTACCCCATATTTAATTGGTAGTTATATCCTATTCATTCTACTTTTATCACATATCTAGTATACCCTTCCTTCTCTGCTCAAGTACTGCGACCACTCTGAGGTCGGCCTTTACCAACTCACACCTGGACTACCATGCCAGCCCGGTGGTTGTTCTCCCAGCCTTACTCTCTTCACTCCAGTCCACAATACAGTCAGTTATCAAAATTATCTTCCTAAAATATTGGTCTGACTATTTTCCCCAAATTCTGGTGACTCCAGGATAAAATATAAAATCCTATTGGTTTTTAAGCAATTTAAGCTTTCATAGCATGACTCCTTCCTGTTTTATTCTACCTCACTCCCTTCTACACACTCATCAGTCCAATGACACTGATCTCCTTGCTCTTCCTTTCACAACAGATTCTATCTCTCTACTATGTGTGTTGTCACTGACTGGAATTCTTTTCCTCCTCATCCCTGCCTCCTGCCCCTTTGACCTCCTTCAAATCTCACCTAAAATCCAATTACAGGTAAAGATAGTTTTCAACATTTATTTTTATAAGATTTTGAGTTCCAAATTTTTCTTCCCTCCCTCCCTTCAGATTCCAGTAAGGAATCTGATATAGGTTATACATGCACATTCATGTTAAACATATTTTCACATTAGTCATATTATGAAAGAAGAATCATAACAAAAGGAAAAAAACAGAAAAAAATGCAAATAAAAACATGAAAAGTGAAAGTGGTATGCTTTGATCTTCATTCAGATTCCATAATTCTTTCTGTGAAGATGGATACCATATCCATTGATCTTGATTCTTTTGGGAATGTCTTGAATCATTGTATTGCTCAAAGCTAAGTCCATCATAGTTGATCATCACACAATATTGGTGTTACTATATACAACTGTCTTCTGGTTCTGCTCACTTCACTTTGCATCAGTTCAAGTAACTCTTTCAGTGTTTCCTGAAATCATCCTGCTTGTCGTTTCTTAAAGCACAATAATATTCCACCACAATTATATATCATAGCTTATTTAACCATTGCCCAATTGATGGGTATCCCCTCAATTTTCATTTCTTGGCCTTCAAAAAAGATACCCTTTGATCCAACAACACCACTGCTAGGTCAATATCCCAAAGAGAATAAAAAGGGGGAAAGGTCCTATTTGTAAAATTTAACTACATAATATGTGGAATTTTAATTTTTTTCTACAGATTATGAAGCAGCAACAGAAAAATAAAAATACAAATTCTGTGCCAAGAAAGGAAAACAAAAATATACAGAATTGACATAGTTCAGATTCTATGCATTATTTGAGATTTCACAATTCCAGTGACTGAGAAGAAAATAATTTGTTGTTTTTGAAAGGTCTTAATGGACCTCATAAACCCCTACCCTTCCTTTCCCATCTTTACTCCCTTATCCCTCATGAAATAAGAACATTGAACTACTTCATTTCCTGCTCAGTAGAAATTAAAGAGAAAGTAGATAAGAGCAGGGAAAAGATACTCTATTTCCTGAGGACATAGTGACAGCAGACATGGGACTTCTAAATAAAGAGAATGGGGCCTCCATTTAGAAACTCAGTCCAAAATGCTCTGATAAGGTAGAAGACAAACTAATGCCCCATGAGGGCACATTTTGCTCAAAGAAAGTTAAACTGGAGGTTATGAAAAACTAGAAAGAGAATATACTCGAAGCTCTCTTTCTAAACGCCGTGGAAGAAGTGGGGAGGCTAAGTTTATTGAGAGCGGCTGGTTTGAATGAAGTAGAATCCTTTTACTGATAAATAGTACTGTATAATAATTCCCTCAAACTATAGGAAAAAAACTAAAGCGCAGAAATTTAGACCATCATGAATTCACTGGGCTTAAAATGAATTAATTAATGGTGTTAGGGGGGTTGAGTTAGGGTAAAGAGAGATCTGACATATCTTTCCTTAATGGGGAATCTCCTTCCTGTTATTTCATTTTCCAGTGCATATACCAGGAGCCCTTCCAGGCCAGAGGGAAAGTCTGGGAAGTCAGACCCACTGGGTTACCTGAAGGCAGGAAATGGAAGAAAGCCTGACTTTCATGATATCCTTCAAGCCTCTCCTGTGATAACCCTTGTCAATGGTTTCTTTTAACATCTCATTTATGGTATTCTTATAAATTTGACTCAGCTCTTTATGTATTTGAGCTCTGGAATTTGGTTAGAACATTTTTTGGAATTTCATTTTGGGATTTCTTTCAGGAAGTGACTGGTGGATTCTTCTATTTATATTTTACCCCTTGGTTCTAGGATATCAGGGTAGTTTTCCTCGATAATTTCTAAAAATATAATATCTAGGCTCTTCTTTTGATCTTGAATTTCAGGTAGTCCAAGAAATCTTTAGCTATTTTTCCTCCATTTATTTTCAAGGTTATTTGTTTTTCAGATGACATAGTTCACATTTAAAAATTTTTCATTCTTTCAATTTTGTTTTATTGTTTTTTGATATCTCATTGAGTCATTAGCTTCCACTTGACTAATCCTAACTTTTGTTTTGAATTATTTTCTTCACTGAGCTTTTGTACTGCCTTTTCCATTTGGCCAATTCTATTTTTTTTTCTTTTTAGGCAATTGGAGTTAAGTGACTTGCCAAGGGTCACACAACTAGTAAGTGTCAAGTATTTGGTCTGAGACCCGATTTGAACTCAGGTCCTCCTGACTCCAGGGCTGGTGCTCTATCCACTGTGCCACCTAGCTACCCCCCATTCTATTTTTTTTTTTGTGGTTGTTTTTGTTTTTTTGGTTAGGCAACATTTTTAAGTGACTTGCCCAGGGCCACACAGCTAGTGAGTGTTTTGTGTCTGAGGCCAGATTTGAACTCTGGTCTGCCTGAGTCTAAGTCCTGTGCTCTAGCTATTGTGCCACCTAGCCACACCTTGAGCTAATTTTCATCAAGTGAACTAGTTATGGGAGAAGGAAAATTTAATATGGTGTCCTAAACTGGATTAAGATCTACTTTGCAAAAGATTTCTGCAAGAGCCTCTAAGATTGTATAAATGATGTGGAACCAGAGAAACAAATCTGAAGAGGAACTTTTAGAGATGCCCTGAGAAAGAGAACTATTCCAGAATGTGGTAGAGAAAGAGGTTTTCAAGTATCAGACAACTACATTACTACTTCTATACCACTGGAAACCAAGATACTTCCCAACAGTACTAGTCCTTCTTCTGGGAAAGAGTTCCACAAACCATCTCAAAGGATGCCAGGTGATGGGCACCTGAATGACTTTCCCAGGTTGTATGGAGTCCTCTGAGGGGGCAAGGATCTTGAGACTAAGGCAGCTCTGTTCTAGGAAAGGAATAAAGAAGGCCTTGAGAAGATTAGCCAGAACTATATCCCCAAACACTCTATTCTTCTTAGGTCAATTTTCTTGGAGATTGGATCCAAGAAATCACCAGACAAAGGATTTCCTTTCTGTTTGGCTGGGTAGCACAGATTGTTATGGACATAGCTTCCAGGAAGTTGCTCACTGATTTAAGTAGTCAGACGCATAATGATAACAACCGTTCACCAGTACTGGCAACCCCTTACCCTAAGGTGGGAGCAGTTCCATTTTGCCAGTTGGGGAAAGGCTGGGCACTACTTGTATTTAGAGTAGCTACCTTATCTTTAATAAGAGGGAACATATGGTTCTATGCCCAGCACAACATGTTAGCACTTGCATGTTTACATTCACATTGGATCCACTTCCCAACCACTGCTACTCTTATAACTTCAGCCTGATTGGTTGTTTAACGTATGATTCTAATTGGTGCCTCACAAATAACCATATTCAATGGGTGTCATCAGCAGAAGTCCTCCGTTATTCTGGGCACCAAGACAGAGAACATTTGATTGCTCGGTCTTGTTCTCTCCAGACCACTTGAACTGATTCAAAGCTGCTACCTGGGAGTGGTGTAGATGAAGAACTTCTCTTCTCCATCCCTT